AGGTATACCTCCCTGACCAGTGCATGAAATTACTGCCTCTGTTTCTTCCTTAACATTTAAAAGTTCCTCAAAATATTCTCGCCATCTTCCCAATACCTCCATCTCCCCATCTACTAACTCCCCTACTCTGTTTTTAACTGACAAATCCATATTTTCCCTAGGCTTTCTTAACTTGTTTAACTCATTCCAAAATTTTTCTTATTTTCATTAAAATTTCTTGACAGTGCCTCTCCCACTCTATCATCTGCTCTCCTTTTGGCACTCTCTCACCACTCTCTTTACCTTTCTTTTACTCTCCATATACTCTGCTCTTCTTATAACACTTCTGCTTTGAAAAAACCTCTCATAAGCTACCTTTTTCCTCTTTTATCACACCCTTTACTTCATCATTCCACCAATCACTCCTTTTTTCCTCCTGCCCCACCCTCCTATAACCACAAACTTCTCCCCCACATTCTAATACTGCATTTTTAAAACTATTCCAACCCTCTTCAACCCCCCCACTACTCATCTTTGCACTAGCCCACCTTTCTGCCAATAGTCGCTTATATCTCACCCGAACTTCCTCCTCCCTTAGTTTATACACTTTCACCTCCCTCTTACTTGTTGTTGCCACCTTCCCTTTTCCCATCTACCTTTTACTCTAACTGTAGCTACAACTAAATAATGATCCGATATATCAGTTGCCCCTCTATAAACATGTACATCCTGGAGCCTACTCATCAACCTTTTATCCACCAATACATAATCTAATAAACTACTTTCATTACGTGCTACATCATACCTTGTATTTTTTATTTATCCTCTTTTTCATAAAATATGTATTACTTATTACCAAATTTCTTTCTACACATAGCTCAATTAAAGGCTCCCCATTTACATTTACCCCTGGCACCCCCAAATTTACCTACTACTCCCTCCATAACATTTTTACCCACTTTAGCATTAAAATCCCCAACCACCATTACTCTCACACTTGATTCAAACTCCCCACGCATTCACTCAACATTTCCCAAAATCTCTCTCTCTCCTCTACACTTCTCTCTTCTCCAGGTGCATACACGCTTATTATAACCCACTTTTCACATCCAATCTTTATTTTACTCCACATAATCCTTGAATTAATACATTTATAGTCCCTCTTTCCTGCCATAGCTTATCCTTCAACATTATTGCTACTCCTTCTTTAGCTCTAAATATATATATATATATATATATATATATTATTATATAATATATATAATTATATATATTAATTTTTTTTTTTTTTTTTTTTTTTGTTAACAAGTCGGCCGTCTCCCACCGAGGCAGGGTGACCCAAAAAAAGAAAGAAAATCCCCAAAAAGAAAATACTTTCATCATCATTCAACACTTTCACCACACTCACACATTATCACTGTTTTTGCAGAGGTGCTCAGAATGCAACAGTTTAGAAGCATATACGTATAAAGATACACAACATATCCCTCCAAACTGCCAATATCCCAAACCCCTCCTTTAAAGTGCAGGCATTGTACTTCCCATTTCCAGGACTCGAGTCCGACTGTATGAAAATAACCGGTTTCCCTGAATCCCTTCACTAAATATTACCCTGCTCACACTCCAACAGATCGTCAGGTCCCAAGTATCATTCGTCTCCATTCACTCCTATCTAACACGCTCATGCACGCTGGCCGATTCCCACCAAGGCAGGGTGGCCCGAAAAAGAAAAACTTTCACCATCATTCACTCCATCACTGTCTTGCCAGAAGGGTGCTTTACACTACAGTTTTTAAACTGCAACATTAACACCCCTCCTTCAGAGTGCAGGCACTGTACTTCCCATCTCCAGGACTCAAGTCTGGCCTGCCGGTTTCCCTGAACCCCTTCATAAATGTTACTTTGCTCACACCAACAGCACGTCAAGTATTAAAAACCATTTGTCTCCATTCACTCCTATCAAACACACTCACGCATGCCTGCTGGAAGTCCAAGCCCCTCACACACAAAACCTCCTTTACCCCCTCCCTCCAACCTTTCCTAGGCCGACCCCTACCCCGCCTTCCTTCCACTACAGACTGATACACTCTTGAAGTCATTCTGTTTCGCTCCATTCTCTCTACATGTCCGAACCACCTCAACAACCCTTCCTCAGCCCTCTGGACAACAGTTTTGGTAATCCCGCACCTCCTCCTAACTTCCAAACTACGAATTCTCTGCATTATATTCACACCACACATTTCCCTCAGACAAAGACATCTCCACTGCCTCCAGCCTTCTCCTCGCTGCAACATTCATCACCCATGCTTCATACCCATATAAGAGTGTTGGTAAAACTATACTCTCATACATTCCCCTCTTTGCCTCCAAGGACAAAGTTCTTTGTCTCCACAGACTCCTAAGTGCACCACTCACCCTTTTCCCCTCATCAATTCTATGATTCGCCTCATCTTTCATAGACCCATCTGCTGACACGTCCACTCCCAAATATCTGAATACATTCACCTCCTCCATACTCTCTCCCTCCAATCTGATATCCAATCTTTCATCACCTAATCTTTTTGTTATCCTCATAACCTTACTCTTTCCTGTATTCACTTTAATTTTCTTCTTTTGCATACCCTACCAAATTCATCCACCAACCTCTACAGCTTCTCTTCAGAATCTCCCAAGAGCACAGTGTCATCAGCAAAGAGCAACTGTGACAAATCCCACTTTGTGTGATTCTTTATCTTTTAACTCCACGCCTCTTGCCAAGACCCTCGCATTTACTTCTCTTACAACCCCATCTATAAATATATTAAACGACCACGGCGACATCACACACCTTTGTCTAAGGCCTACTTTTACTGGGAAATAATTTCCCTCTTTCCTACATACTCTAACTTTAGCCTCACTATCCTCGTAAAAACTCTTCACTGCTTTCAGTAACCTACCTCCTACACCATACACCTGCAACATCTGCCACATTGCCCCCCTATCCACCCTGTCATATGCCTTTTCCAAATCCATAAATGCCACAAAGACACCTTTAGCCTTATCTAAATAATGTTCACTTATGTTTCACTGTAAACACCTGGTTTACAGGTTTACATATATTTTATATGTATACAGTGGACCCCCGCATACCGTCGCCACCACATAACGTACAATCCGCATACCGCTCGCTTTTATCGCAAAAATTTTGCCTCGCATACCGCTCAAAAACCCGCTCACCGCTCTTCGTCCGAGACGCGTCCAATGTGCGCCCTTAGCCAGCCTCACATGTGCCGCTGGTGGCATTGTTTACCAGCCTGCCTCCGCGGTAACATCCAAGCATACAATCGGAACATTTCGTATTATTACAGTGTTTTTGGTGATTTTATCTGCCAAATAAGTGACCATGGGCCCCAAGAAAGCTTCTAGTGCCAACCCTACAGCAATAAGGGTGAGAATTACAATAGAGATGAAGAAAGAGATCATTGATAAGTATGAAAGTGGAGTGCGTGTCGCCGACCTGGCCAGGTTGTACAAGAAACCCAAATCAACCATCGCTACTATTGTGGGCAACAGAAAGGCAATCAAGGAAGCTGTTCTTGCCAAAGGTTTAACTGTGTTTTCGAAACAGAGATCGCAAGTGATGGAAGATGTTGAGAGACTCTTATTGGTGTGGATAAATGAAAAACAGCTAGCAGGAGATAGCGTTTCTCAAGCGATCATAAGCGAAAAGGCTAGGAAGTTGCATGAGGATTTAATTAAAAAAATGCCTGCAACTAGTGATGATGTGAGTGAATTTAAGGCCAGCAAAGGTTAGTTTGAGAGATTTAAGAAGCGTAGTGGCATACATAGTGTGATAAGGCATGGTGAGGCTGCCAGTTCGGACCACAAAGCAGCTGAAAAATATGTGCAGGCATTCAAGGAGTACATACAGTGAAGGACTGAAACCTGAACAAGTGTTTAATTGTGATGAAACAGGCCTGTTTTGGAAGAAAATGCCAAGCAGGACCTACATTACCGAGGAGGAAAAGGCACTCCCAGGACATAAGCCTATGAAAGACAGGCTTACTTTGTTGATGTGTTCCAATGCTACTGGTGATTGCAAAGTGAAGCCTTTATTAGTGTATCACTCTGAAACTCCCAGACCGTTCAGGCAAAAGAATGTCCTCAAGGAGAATTTGTGTGTGCTGTGGAGGGCAAACAGTAAGGCATGGGTCACTAGGGACTTTTTCTATGACTGGTTACACCATGCAATTTGCCCCCAATGTGAAAGATTACCTAACTGAAAAGAAATTAGAACTTAAGTGCCTCCTGGTGTTAGACAATGCCCCTGGTCATCCTACAGACGTGGCAGAGCGACTTTATGGGGACATGAAATTCATTAAGGTGAAGTTTTTGCCTCCTAATACCACTCCTCTCCTGCAGCCATGGACCAGCAGGTTATTGCAAACTTCAAAAAACTGTACACAAAAGCTCTGTTTGAAAGGTGCTTTGTAGTGACCTCAGAAACTCAACTTACATCTAAGAGAGTTTGGAGAGAGCACTTTAATATCCTCAATTGTGTAAACCTTATAGGTAAGGCTTGGGAGGGAGTGACTAAGAAGACCTTGAACTCTGCTTGGAAGAAACTGTGGCCAGAATGTGTAGACAAAAGGGATTTTGAAGGGTTTGAGGCTAACCCTGAGAGGATTTTGCCAGTTGAGGAATCCATTGTGGCATTGGGAAAGTCCTTGGGGTTGGAGGTTAGTGGGGAGGATGTGGAAGAGTTGGTGGAGGAGGACAATGAAGAACTAACCACTGATGAGCTGATAGATCAACTTCAACAGCAAGAGGCCAGACCTGAGGAAACTGGTTCAGAGGAGGGGAGAGAGAAATTGAAGAAGTTGCCTACTACAAAGATTAAGGAAATCTGTGCAAAGTGGCTTGAAGTGCAAACCTTCATGGATGAAAGTCACCCTCATACAGCTATTGCAAGCCGTGTTGGCAACCTGTACACTGACAATGTTGTGAAACACTTTAGGGAAGTCATAAAGGAACGAGAGGTACAGGCCACTATGGACAGATATGTTGTGCGAAAGAAGTCCAGTGACTCTGAAGCTGGTCCTAGTGGCATTAAAAGAAGGGAAGTAACCCCAGAAAAGGACTCGACACCTCAAGTCTTAATGGAAGGGGATTCCCCTTCTAAACACTAACACACACTCTCCCCTCCTCCCATCCCATCAATCATCACCAGATCTTCAATAAAAGTAAGTGTCATGTAATTGTGCATGCCTTTTTCAGTTTGTGTGTATTAAAATTAACATTTCATGTGGTAAATTTTTTTTTTTTTTCATACTTTTGGGTGTCTTGCACGGATTAATTTGATTTCCATTATTTCTTATGGGGAAAATTCATTCGCATACCGACCATTTCGCATAACAAAGAGCCCTCTTGCATGGATTAAAGTCGCTATGCGGGGGTCCACTGTATTTTATATTTTATATACATATAATTTTTTTTTTTTTTTTTTTAAATATGCCACCTGCTAATATTTTTGACCTTGTCTTTATTTTTAACCACCTGACATAAAACAGTAATTGGTTTAGGTGAATTGTGCATGGCACTAGCTTTTATTTTGTCATCACAGGGTTAAAAGACGGCTCCAGGATGAACAGAACAGTAATTTGAAGCAGTTTTCTTAAGATATCTCATCTGTTAATCTCCCCTTAGGTTGTCTTGTTTACGAATTCCATGGTTACTATGAGGGCTAGTGTAAGTAAAATGCTAAATTCTTTCAGGATGTTGCGTGGCATCTTCTTCACGAATCGCTTTTTGGTTCAGTAGCAGATGACCAAAAGCTGATGATCTGGGATACACGTGCCAATAACACCAATAAGCCTTCCCACACAGTTGATGCCCACACAGCAGAGGTCAATTGCCTCTCCTTTAATCCCTATTCTGAATTTATTCTGGCTACTGGCAGTGCCGATAAGGTAATATATTTTTAGAAAGTATGTTAGTTATACAACAGATACATCCCATAATCTTCCATCCTCCCCTCTACTAGTATGCTTTTTACCTATGCATACAAAAGCAGAATGTCTTGAAATTTTTTATCACTTGGTTCACCAGTGGAAACATGGGTAAAGTATATTTCTATATTTGTATTTTAAACACAGCTTAAAGGATGGGGTAGCGAGGGTGTTTCTCATACATTAGATTTGAATTTTTATCATTCCCAGCATCCTGTGACTTGACTTTTTCATCTCTAGTGTAATTGTTCATTTTTCAGTTTTTAAAATGGATTTTGGGGTGGAGAATTGTTGCAGATTGTACTGCATGACCTATTTTATTTTCCCTTATCAGCCATCTCCCATCAAGGTAGGGGGAACAGGAAAAAAAAAATATTCACAATTATTCATTACCTTGTCTTGCCAGAAGTCTCGTTGTAAAAATTCAAATGGCTCTCCGAACTGCAACACCCACCCCTCCTTCGCAGTGCAGGCTCTGTATTTCCCATTCCCAGGACTGAAGTCTGGCTACCCAGTTTCCCTGATTACCTTTATAAGTGTTACCTTATTCTCATCCCACCAACACTTCAAGCCGTAAAAACAACTTCATCTCCACTCTGATCCAACACTCTTGGATGGTCAAGCCCCTAGCACTCTAAACTTCCTTTACCCTGTCATTCCAACCCTTCCTGCGATGACCTGAGATACATTGTCTTGGTCAGGTCATTCTTTCTAAATGCTCAGATCACCTAAACATCTGAGTTATGCCTTTAGTAATTCCATCCCATCTTCTGATTTCTGTGCTTCAAATCCCTGCATAATACTCACACCATATATTGCTCTTAATCATGACTTTACTGCTTCTAGCCTCTTTCTGTAACATTGAAAGCCCATGACTCCTACTTATATAAATGTTATTGCTGCTATTACTCTGGTACATTGTTTTATTTTTGCCTTCATAGTTAATTTTTTTTCTTTCTACAAATTATTCAACATGTCATTTATTTTGTTCCTTATCTGTTCTATGGTTTGCCTCTTTCTTCATAGCCCCAGCTGCTCAAATGTCCACTCTAAAATATCTAAATACAGTACATTAAACAACCATGGTGACATTTATGCATTCCTTTCTATGACCAGTTTTCCCTCTTCTGTGTACCCTAACCTGAGTCTCTCACTTCTTTTTAAAACTCTCTACTGCTTTTCATAACGTACTAAAAATTTTATACACTTGCAATATCTGCCACATTCCTCCCCTGTCCACCTTATATGTGTTTTCTAATTCCATAAATTTAACAGACTATTCCACACACTTATCTAGGAATTGTGTACCTATATGCTACATTGTAAGCATATGGTCTATCCTTTCTAAATCCTTGGGCCTCTGCAATCCTTCTTTCCTATCCCGACTCTTTCAATAATAATGCTATCAGGTATGCTCAACATAACATCTTTCATTACTGTATTTTATTGCTCCAGAATTTGGATGTAGTGTGTACAGCATATTTGAAAATAATTATAGTCATATGTATTATTTGAATATGATTTCTATTTACACTGGTGATGACATGTAACTAATTTTTTTTTCTTGTACTCGAGACTGTGTACCTGTCAGTTTTACATTTAAAACGCATTATAGTTTAGATTTTTTTTATAATTTACCCTTGTTTATCTTTTTTCAGCTCCATATTCTTGTAATTTGTGTTTATAATTCCTTGACAATTACACCTTTTATTGCATATCTTTCCTTGGTTTGCCAAAACCTATATACACAGTAAAGTAGCAGTATTGTAATCAAGCAACTACTGGGTTTTCTATTTTGCTGGTGTTTTAGAAATTAAAGCAATGGAACCAAAGTTGTAGTCCAAAATTGTTAGCTTTGTTTTACTATGTTTAGAAGCCTAAGATAATGGAGACCAATTTTCTAGCATAATATTGCATGACTAGCAGTCTTATTTACCTTATAGTTTGTCATTAGACTTGTGTAGAAATGTACAAACAAAGGGAGACTTTTGCAAGAGAATGCAGAGATTAGTGGAGAAGTTAGAGGGTGTGTATAAGGAATTTGCAACAGGTGAATAAGAAAGTGCAGTTGTCCAATCAAGTAAAACTGAATGTCATATTAGAGAGGCTATATATAATTTTTTTTATCCAGCCCCCCCTCCCCTTCCTATGAAGGTACAGTCACCTGACAAGGAAAACTTTCACTCACTCATAAGTCATGATCCCCACCCCTCCTGAGTGCAAACACTGTACTGCCTACCTTCAGGATTTGGGTCTGGATGACAAGTTTCCCCAAATCCCTTCGTAAATGTTACCTTGCTCACACTTCAGCAACTTCCACTCATAAAAATCACTGGCCTCCATTCCTATATTCATATCTAATGTGCTCATGCAGGCCCCTAGCACTTGAAACCTTAACTCCACTCCAGAAAAGGGGAAGGAGGTACTTACTGTGAGTCGATTGTTGAGAACTTGTCACCATGTGTAGCACACAGTATTAAGATAATCAAAACACTTATTAGAATCAGTTTCATTATATAATTTAAATATTTTCATTCCAATTTTTTATATAATTGGATGACCCTCTCATGCGTGATTGTACTGCCATTCCATTATTATGATTTTTGAAGTTTTTTTTTTCATTGTAGTAAAACATATGCTCTAATGCACCCTGCCTTGGTGGAAAATGACCAGCATGATAAAAAAAAAAAATTGTGCCTCGTAAAAATAATTTATTTCATGACTTCTTTTTACCTGAAATGTTGAATCACCCATTGTGGGGTTAAAGGTCAGCAGGTATAACAGGAAATAAGGGAAATGTATTTAATTTCTAACAGATCTCAGTGGTAGTAAACAAAACAGTCCAGGCTCAGTATAGTAAAAGTTCAGTGCACCAAGGCAGTCCTAACACCATTTCTCATACACAAATAACCTGCACATGAAAGAGAGAAGCTTACGACGACGTTTCGGTCCGACTTGGACCATTTACAAAGTGACTTTGTAAATGGTCCAAGTCGGACCGAAACGCCGTTGTAAGCTTCTCTTTTATGTGCGGGTTATTTGTGTATCGTTCCAGTCACGGTATTGTGCCTTTTTTTTTTTTTTGTTATTTATTGTTACCATTTCTCATGCTTGTGGGAGACAGAGAACAGCAACTACAGCTTCATATCATCTTGTACAGGTGATATCAAATTATGAAAGTTACTGCAAAAACTACAGACATGACCAAAGCCTTCCACTGGGTCAGTGAAATAGAATGATGTTCAGTGGTGACAAATTTTAACTCTTAGGTATGAAGACCTTGAAGCAAGCATGGTATACAAGTCAGGTAGATCGAATCATAGAGCACAAGAAACTGGTGAAAACAGATAAAACTTAGCAATAATTGTGGAAGGATTTTTCCATTTGGCAAGTGCAGCAAACGTCAGGAAAATGATGGGTTAGGAAAACTTAAACTACGCCAATGATGTTTTCCAGTCATTATCATCGACACCATGCCCAGCCCTTCTAGGGTAGGGTAGGTGCCTGAGCCCGAGCTTTCAGCTCACAAGACTTTCATTCCTATTAGCCCCCCTTGGGGCGGGGATGGCAGACCAGAGGCGCCTGGCTTCTCCCTACTAGCCCCGTGAGGGCGGGAAATGTGGCTAGGCCTGGGGACAGTTGGTCTCAAAGATGAGGGGGGTACTTGTGCCTCATCCCATGGGAGACTTGGGTCTCAGACACTCCCAAGACAGGGAGACAAGGCTGGGCCACCACTTGGAAAAGACCCGGGCCGGGAGAATACCGGCGAATCTTTAAAAAAAAAAAAAAGTTTTCCAATTGTGCTTTCTCGACATTGTTCTGTAATTACAGTGCCTTTCAGGGCAGGAGATATAGGAGAGCTGGAAAATGTACAAACTTGTACTACTATCGTGGGATCTATAAAACCTTTAAAGTATTGGGAATGCTTCAAAGAAGTTGGAGTGTTATCTCTGAAGTAAAAAGATACCTGATACTGTATATGTGTGTTTTAATATTAGCACACTGTTATTAAATACTAGATGAGATTTTTGTATAAATACACAAGGGCATTTATTTCTGGGAGGAGAATATTTAATACTTGAATGTTCATTGAGCAAGGAATATCCAAATATTTTCTCCTTGTCAGTAATAAAATTTAATTTTACATATGCTTTAGCTCAAAAGTACAAAAAAGCAGACAGTACAGATCTTTATTTTAGCCATTGTTGACACTGTTCATATAAATAACCATATTAGTGCTCATTCTCCATAGGGAAATGGAACAGAATTTTCTCTGCAAGCCAAGCGTGTCGTAAAAGGACACTAAAATGTCGGGAGCAAGGAGCTAGTATCTGCTTCTCCTGTATACATTACTATAATTAAAAAGAGAAACTTTTGTTTTTCTTTTTGGGTCACCCTGCCTCGGTGGGATACGACCGCTTTGTTGAAAGTAGTAGTAGTAGTAGTAGTAGTGTTCATAATGCTATAATTTATTAGTTTTTATCACCACACGAAATCAGATTTTTTACACCTTTTACCTTTATAATTACATAATCAGTGCATTTTCAGGACAGGAAAAGCAGCTGTAAGACAAAGGTCCATCTCTGGTTTGTTCTTAGTGAGGAGTATTTATAATATACGTATTACTGAAACCTCAGCAGCTAATCAGTAATCTTGACGATTTTTAAATTAATAACTATATTGTGTCTTCAAAGCCTCCTTACTCTAGACTATTTCATCAAAAAAAAAAAATTGAGAATAAAAATTTTGTTAGAATTTTATAGTATCAGTAATGTAGTTCATTTCGTTCGTATACTGGAGTTAAAATTCAAGTAGTGTAAGTAATGCTGGTACACATAGGCTACATGCCAAAATTGTCGTTCTGTTGTGATTTTCGTTTCTTGAGGAGTTAGAAGAATGTGCGTGAGAACAGTTCAACATCCAGCTTCCCTTACAGACGGTCGCTCTGTGGGATTTACGTAATCTGAGCTTGAAGCTTCACTCGTTTGCCATGCACAAGGACGAAATCTTCCAGGTAAGTAGTGCTTGCATGCTCCATGTGTGTGGTGAGTGCATGTGTCCTCAGTTATAATTTTCCACCCACCTTGCAGACAGTTGCCTTGTGGGACCTGCGCAATCTCAAGCTGAAACTTCACTCATTTGAGTCGCACAAAGATGAGGTTTTCCAGGTGAGCTTGACCGAGTTGGAGCAGCCGTGGGTAATTATTGTCAGGACTTAATGAAGACAACAAGAACTGAACTGATGTTTGGTGTTAATCTTTTTTCTACTTTTGGAACGGGAGTTTCAGTTGTGTGAGAGGGTAGCATAAATTTTAGTTAAATGTTTTCTATGAATGTAGTTAATGGCTAGTTACATGTTCAAAATTTATAAAACAAACATTTAAAAGTACATTATCTCCTTATTCAAATTTTTATATATTTTTATTCCAAAATAAGACTAATATCTTTACTACAAGAATAGTGTATACTTAACATGCTCATTATACATTCTGCATATACGTATACACTAAAGTAATTGGGTAGAATGAGATGAGCGTCTTCAAAATGGGTAATCATTCATTTATTTTTACTGTAATAAAAATTTGATTTTGTCAACCTGCTTGTATGTGGAAGTGACTACCAATTGGTTTGCGTAGCTGTTTTGTGTTGGCTATTGAATATTATTATAGTACTCTGTTCAAATGTGAATAAAAAAGGTATCTTGGTTATATTTTTAACAAGTCCAATTTTATTACCATTATCTGTTTGAGACACATTCACATAACCTGTATTTTGAGGCAGTCTTAACAGCTTTTGGCCTCTTCTGGTTGCACAGGTTCAGTGGTCACCTCATAACGAGACAATCCTTGCAAGTTCAGGCACAGATCGTCGGCTGCATGTGTGGGACCTCAGCAAGATAGGTGAAGAACAGAGTGCTGAGGATGCTGAAGATGGACCTCCTGAACTATTGGTATTGTATTTTTTAATTCGCGTAATTTATTTACTTTTAAGGATCTGTTCCTGACAAGTAAAGTTTATATATAATACATATATAATACCTTTTCCTGTGAACTCATGGCAGAAAAGCCTTCAAATAATTTCTTGTAAAAGAATAACTTGTGGTCTATCATAACTCACGAAATCAATAACATGACTGCAAGCAAACCATGGAATGGGTGACTTACACACTGGCCTAGAATTTTAGGACTTCTTTGCCATAGTTCAAACCCCACCCATTATGTGGTTTGTGCTCTTCCCTTAAATCGGTGTTGGGATGCATTTCTCCAGTATTTTTCATTTAAACCTTGCTGTAAAATAAGGTGTTGGACCTTCAAATAATCCCCTTCAGTCTCAGTCTCTTGTTTGCCTAACATTGGTTACTCTCCAGATTTCTGCACATAGATTTGTTGCTATGTCCTCATACCTTATACCAGGCACCACATGTAACCCACATCCTTCAATTACTTCATCCTATATTTATCAATATAGTATTGACAAATTTTTTTTGTGCATCTACACAAGTCTTGTGCACAGAAATAATTGTAATATTTATTTTTTCAGTTCATTCATGGAGGTCATACTGCTAAGATTTCTGATTTCTCATGGAACCCTAATGAGCCTTGGGTAATCTGTTCTGTCAGTGAAGACAATATTATGCAGGTATGTATGTACAGCTGTCTTGGTTTTGTACATTTTTAAGACAGTTGTATGGTTGTCCAGGGAAGGACTACTATCCTATCATTGTTTCCTGTAGGTTACCTCGAGAGGGTTCAAGGGTCATCACTTCTGCAGCCCAATCCCCAACCAGGGTACCCAATTGTTGTCCTAATTGCCCAGGCTGTTGGTGCTAGCCACATCAACGAAAGGTGGTTATATGTTTTGAGCCTTAGGATTGCTGATAACTTGCAAAATTCTCTACACTCAGTGTAATGATCTTTTATAAATAGCTCTTATTCCTGCAAAATTTGCTTTACAGTTTAGGTGATCCAGTCGAGCTCTTGGAGCACTGACCCCTAAAATTATTGGGCTGTTTGGCTGGAAATGTTCTGAATTTGAATTTTCTTAAGACTTCGAATCTCTTTAAACATATAAATTATGGTAGGTTGCAAACGTAACAACTTTCACTCCATATTGCTGACTGATATCATCATTTATCTGTTGGTGGTACTGTGAATTATCTTTCCCATGGCTCAGTCTCAGACCAAGTCTCCTAGTGTGGAAAGTAAATGTTACACATAGGAAAGCAATGGTACGTTTATATGGAATGTTGGAAGTTTGTAAGGTTTAACTTACAATGAAGAAATAGAAGTCATGCAAGAAATTTAACCGGCTTCCCTTTTTAAAATATTTGACTTTACGGTAGTGCCTCCCTAAATGGTTGCAGGGAATAAGTGCTTGATGTACATGTTTTGATTATTTTTCCTTCAAGTGTTCAGTTCTGAGTTTTTAGCTTTTTTTATCCCAAGAGGATGAACTGAAAGAAATGCAGATGTCAGTCTAGTTTGGAAACACTCAAGTTGCAGACTAAGATTTTAGTGGGATGTTTTGTTCATGTAGATAACACTGCACAATGAATATACCAATAAAAGGCTATGCAACCTGACCAAAAGGAAAAGCTTCTTTTTTTATTATCATAACTAGGCACTAAACCACCAGGCGAGAAATCTAGTGTTTAGTGTGTTACTCTGTTCACTATATCTGTATGTAAAGTGGGAAGTCTGAATGTGCATGGATGTTGTGCGAATGATAAGAAAGAGATGATTGTTGATGTTATGAATGAGAAGAAGCTGGATGTCCTGGCTTTAAGTGAAACAAAGCTGAAGGGGGTGGGTGAGTTTCAGTTGAGAGGAATAAATGGGATTAGGTCAGGGGTTTCAAATAGTTAGAGCTAAAGTAGTAGCAATAATGTTGAAGAATAAGCTATGGCAGGAAAAGAGGGACTATAAATGTATTAATTCAAGGATTATGTGGAGTAAAATAAAGGTTGGATGTGAGAAGTGGGTTATAGTAAGTGTATATGCACCTGGGGAAGAGAGAAGTATAGAGAGAGATTTTGGGAAATGTTGAGTGAATGTGTGGGGAGTTTTGAACCAAGTGTGAGAGTACTTGTGGTGGGGGATTTTAATGCTAAAGTGGGTAAAAATGTTGTGGAAGGAGTAGTAGGTAAATTTGGGGTACCAGGGGTAAATGAAAATGGGGAGCCTTTAATTGAGCTGTGTGTAGAAAGAGGTTTGGTAATAAGTAATACATATTTTATTAAAAAGAGGATAAATATACAAGGTATGATATAGTGCGTAATGAAAGTAATTTGTTAGATAATGTATTGGTGGATAAAAGGTTGATGGGTAGGCTCCAGGATGTACATGTTTATAGAGGGGCAACTGATATATCAGATCATTATCTAGTTGTAGCTACAATTAGAGTAAGAGGTAGATGGGATAAGAGGAAAATGGCAACAAGAAGAGGGAGGTGAAAGTGTATAAACTAGAGGAGGAGGAAGTTCGTGTGAAATATAAGCAACTGTTGGCAGAAAGGTGGGCTAGTGCAAAGATGAGTAGTGGGGGGGGTTGAAGAGGGTTGGAATAGTTTTAAAAATGCAGTATTAGAATGTGGGACAGAAGTTTGTGGTTATAGGAGGGTGGGTGCAGGAGGAAAGAGGAGTGATTGGTGGAATGATGAAGTAAAAGGTGTGATAAGAGAAAAAGGTAGCTTATGAGAGGTATTTACAAAGCAGAAGTGTTATAAGAAGAGTAGAGTATATCTGGAGAGTAAAAGAAAGGTGGAGAGAGTGGATGATAGTGGGAGAGGCACTGTCAAGAAATTTTAATGAAAAGAAGAAAAAATTTTGGAGTTAAACAAAGTTAAGAAAGCCTAGGGAACGAATGGATTTCAGTTAAAAACAGTAGTGGAGTTAGTAGATGGGGAGATGGAGGTATTGGGTAGATTGCGAGAATATTTTGAGGAACTTTTAAATGTCGATGAAGAAAGGGAGGCGGTAATTTCATGCACTGGCCAGGGAGGTATACCATCTTTTAGGAGTGAAGAAGAGCAGGATGAGAGTGTGGGGAAGGTGCGCGAGGCATTACGTAGAATGAAAGGGGGCAAAGCAGCTGGAACTGACTGGATCATGACAGAAATGTTAAAAGCAGGGGGGATATGGTGTTGGAGTGGTTGGTATTTTTGTTTAATAAATGCATGAAAGAGGGGAAGGTACGTAGAGATTGGCGGAGAGCGTGTATAGTCCCTTTATATAAAGAGAAGGGGGACAAAAGAGATTGTAAAAATTATAGAGTAATAAGTTTACCGAGTATACCAGGAAAAGTGTACGGTAGGGTTATAATTAAAAGAATTAGAGGTAAGACAGAATGTAGGATTGTGGATGAGCAAAGAGGTTTTAGAGTAGTTAGGGGATGTGTAGATGAAGTGTTTACATTGAAGCATATATGTGAACAGTATTTAGATAAAGGTAGGGAAGTTCTTATTGCATTTATGGATTTAGAAATGGCATATGATAGTGGATAGGGGAGCAATGTGGAATAGGTGGTAAGTTACTAAATGCTGTAAAGAGTTTTTATAAGGATAGTGATGCTCAGGTTAGTGTGTGTAGAAGAGAGGGAGACTACTTCCTGGTAAAAGTAGGTCTTAGACAGGAATGTGTAATGTCACCATGGTTGTTTAATATATTTATAGATGGGGTTGTAAAAGAAGTAAATGCTAGGGTGTTCGGGAGAGGGGTGGGATTAAATTATGAGGAATCAAATACAAAATGGGAATTGACACAGTTGCTTTTTGCTGATGATACTGTGCTAATGGGAGATTCTAAAGAAAAATTGCAAAGTTTAGTGGACCAGTTTGGGAGTGTGTGTAAAGGTAGAAAGTTGAAAGTGAACATAGAAAAGAGTAAGGTGATGAGGGTATCAAATGATTTAGATAAAGAAAAATTGGATATCAAATTGGGGAGGAGGAGTATGGAAGAAGTGAATGTTTTCAGATACTTGGGAGTTGACGTGTCGGCGGATGGATTTATGAAGGATGAGGTTAATCATAGAATTGATGAGGGAAAAAGGGTGAGTGGTGCATTGAGGTATATGTGGAGACAAAAAACATTATCTATGGAGGCAAAGAAGGGAATGTATGAAAGTATAGTAGTACCAACACTTATACGAGTGAAGCTTGGGTTGTGAATGTAGCAGCAAGGAGGCGGTTGGAGGCAGTGGAGATGTCCTCTCTAAGGGCAATGTGTGGTGTAAATATTATGCAGAAAATTCGGAGTGTGGAAATTAGGAGAAGGTGTGGAGTTAATAAAAGTATTAGTCAGAGGGCTGAAGAGGGGTTGTTGAGGTGGTTTACCTGGAGAGAGTTCCGGGGGTCAACGCCCCCGCGGCCCGGTCTGTGACCAGGCCTCCTGGTGGATCAGAGCCTGTGTCAGCATAATTGCTGAATCCCCTTATATGTGTTGTATAGCATATCATAGTACCATCCATGTGTTTACATAGAAGATCCCGAGGCCTGTGACTGTGTGACGTCACGGGATGCTCCATGAGTGAGCGGGACAGGCTACCTCGGCCTCAGTCGGCGTGTAGACATAGGCAGGACAAGGCAGGCTGGGGGCTCCATCACCCATCTCCCATCCAACAAGTGTCTACCTTCACCCTCGATATCTCCTTTTAAGAACCCCTACGACAAAGATTTGTCATAGGGGATTCAGCAACTATGCTGACACCTGATCAACCAGGCTGTTACTGCTGGCTGCACGCAAACCAACGTACGAGCCACAGCCCAGTTGGTCAGGGACCGACTTTAGGAGCTTGTCCAGTGCCAGCTTGAAGACTGCCAGGGGTCTGTTGGTAATCCCCCTTATGTATGCTGGGAGGCAGTTGAACAGTCTCAGGCCCCTGACACTTATTGTATGGTCTCTTAACCTGCTAGTGACACTCCTGCTTTTCATTGGGGGGATGTTGCATCGTCTGCCAAGTCTTTTGCTTTCATAGCGAGTGATTTTCGTGTGCAAGTTCGGTACTAGTCCCTCTAGGATTTTCCAGGTGTATATAATCATGTATCTCTCCCGCCTGCGTTCCAGGGAATACAGGTTCAGGAACCTCAAGTGCTCCCAGTAATTTAGGTGTTTTATCTCCGTTATGCGCGCCGTGAAGGTTCTCTGTACATTTTCTAGGTCAGCAATTTCACCTGCCTTGAAAGGTGCTGTTAGTGTGCAGCAATATTCCAGCCTAGATAAAACAAGTGACCTGAAGAGTGTCATCATGGGCTTGGCATCCCTAGTTTTGAAGGCTCTCATTATCCATCCTGTCATTTTCCTAGCAGATGTGATTGATACAATGTTATGGTCCTTGAAGGTGAGATCCTCCGACATGATCACTCCCAGGTCTTTGACGTTGGTGTTTCGCTCTATTTTGTGGCCAGAATTTGTTTTGTACTCTGATGAAGATTTAATTTCCTCGTGTTTATCATATCTGAGTAATTGAAATTTCTCATCGTTGAACTTCATATTGTTTTCTGCAGCCCACTGAAAGATTTGGTTGATGTCCGCCTGGAGCCTTGCAGTGTCTGCAATGGAAGACACTGTCATGCAGATTCGGGTGTCATCTGCAAAGGAAGACACGGTGCTGTGGCTGACATCCTTGTCTATGTCAGATATGAGGATGAGGAACAAGATGGGAGCGAGTACTGTGCCTTGTGGAACAGAGCTTTTCACCGTAGCTGCCTCGAACTTTACTCTGTTGACTACTACTATGTTCTGTTAGTGAGGAAATTATAGATCCATCGACCGACTTTTCCTGTTATTCCTTTAGCACACATTTTGTGCGTTATTACGCCATGGTCACATTTGTCGAAGGCTTTTGCAAAGTCTGTATATATTACATCTGCATTCTTTTTGTCTTCTAGTGCATCTAGGACCTTGTCGTAGTGATACAATAGTTAAGACAGACAGGAGCAACGTGTTCTAAACCCATGTTGCCCTGGGTTGTGTAATTTATGGGTTTCTAGATGGGTGGTGATCTTGCTTCTTAGGACCCTTTCAAAGATTTTTATGATATGGGATGTTAGTGCTATCGGTCTGTAGTTCTTTGCTATTGCTTTACTGCCCCCTTTGTGGAGTGGGGCTATGTTGTTTTTAGCAACTGTGGGATGACCCCCGTGTCCATGCTCCCTCTCCATAGGATGGTAAAAGCTCGTGATGGGGGCTTCTTGCAGTTCTTGATGAACACGGAGTTCCACGAGTCTGGCCCTGGGGCAGAGTGCATGGGCATGTCATTTATCGCCTGTTCGAAGTCATTTGGCATCAGGATAACATCAGATAGGCTTGTGTTAACCAAATTCTGTGGCTCATAAAAAATTCATTTTGATCTTCGACTCTGTCTGGTTAGCGGCTTGCTAAAAACTGAAGTCATATTGGGACTTGAGTAGCTCACTCATTTCCTTGCTGTCATCTGTGTAGGACCCATCTTGTTTAAGTAGGGGCCCAATACTGGACATTGTTCTCGACTTTGATTTGGCATAGAAGAAATGCTTTGGGTTTCTTTAGATTTCATTTATGGCTTTTAGTTCTTCCCGCGATTCCTGACTCCTATAAGATTCCTTTAGCTTAAGTTCGATGCTTGCTGTTTCTCTGACCAGTGTCTCCCTATGCATTTCAGATATATTGACCTCTTTTAGCCACTCTGTTATTCTTTTCCGTCGCCTGTAAAGGGAGCGCCTGTCTCTCTATTTTACATCTACTCCTCCTTTTTCTTAGAGGAATAAGCCTTGTGCATACATCGAGTGCCACCGAGTTCATCTGTTCTAGGCATAAGTTGGGGTCTGTGTTGCTTAGTATATCTTCCCAGCTTATATCGGTTAGGACTTGGTTTACTTGGTCCCACTTTGTTTTTGTTATTGAAGTTGAATTTGGTGAATGCTCCCTCATGACTAATCTCATTATGTCGGTCTGGGGCTCCGCGCATACATGTCTGAACATCAATTATGTTGTGATGTGAGTATATTGTTTTTGATATGGTGACATTTCGTATCAGATCATCAGTTAGTGAAGATGAGGTCTAGTGTATTCTCCAGTCTAGTAGGCTCTATTATTTGCTGGTTTAAATTGAAATTTGTGCAGAGATTTAAAAGCTCATGTGAGTGTGAGTTTTCATCAGAGCTGCCTCCTGGTGTTATTACTGCAACAGTATTATTTGCTATATTCCTCCATTTTAGGTGCCTTAAGTTGAAATCCCCCAGGAGCAAGATGTTGGGTGCAGGAGCTGGCAGATTTTCCAGACAGTGGTCAATTTTTAACAGCTGTTCCGGGAATTGCTGGGATGTTGCATCTGGAGGCTTGTAGACTACCACAATGACTAGGTTTGAGGTTTGGTCATTTAGAGAGAATGGATCAAAGTAGAATGACATTTGTAGCATTTAAATCTGTAGGGGAAGGAAGGCGGGGTAGGGGTCATCTTCGAAAAGGTTGGAAGGAAGGGGTAAGGGAGATTTTGTGGGCGAGGGGCTTGGACTTCCAGCAGGCGTGCGGGAGCGTGTTCGATAGGAGTGAATGGAGACGAATGGTATTTGGGACCTTACGATCTGTTGGAGTGTGAGCAGGGTAATATTTAGTGAAAAGATTCAGGGAAACCGGTTATTTTATATAACTGGACTTGAGTCCTGGAAATGGGAAGTACAATGCCTGCACTCTAAAGGAGGAGTTTGGGATATTGGCAGTTTGGAGAGATGTATTGTGTATTTTTATACGTATATACTTCTAAACTGTTGTATTCTGGGCACCTCTGCAAAAAGTGATTGTGTGAGTGAGGTGAAAGTGTTGAATGATGATGAAAGTATTTTCTTTTTGGGGATTTTCTTTCTCTTTGGGTCACCCTGCCTTGGTGGTAGACGGCCGACTTGTTGAAAAATTATATATTTATATACATACATACAAACTTGCTAGGCAGTACATTGGTAGACAGCAACTGCCTAGGGAGGTACTACTGTCCTGCCAAGTGAGTGTAATATGGAAGCCTGTACATGTTTTGCATGATGGTAGTATTGCTTGTGCCTTTTGTCTGTCTCAGAAACATTAAAGATTTCAGATACGTCTTGCTACTTCTACTCACTTAGGTCACACTACACATGTTTTCTTTCAACAAATTGGCCCTATATATACACACCCCTCTGGGTTTTCTTCTATTTTCTTACTAGTTCTTGTTTTTGTTTATTTCCTCTTGTCTCCATGGGGAAGTGGAACAGAATTCTTCCTCCATAAGCCATGTATGTTGTAAGAACATAAGAAAGGAGGAACACTGCAGGAGGCCTGATGGCCCATACTAGGCAGGTCCTTTACAATTCATCCCACTAACAAAACATTTGCCCAATTTTCAATGCCACCCAAGAAATAAGCTCTGATGTGAAAGTCCCACTCAAATCCAACCCCTCCCACTTATGTACTTATCCAACCTAGATTTGAAACTACCCAAAGTCCCAGCCTCAATAACCCAACTAGGTAGACTGTTCCACTCATCAACTACCCTATTTCCAAACCAATACTTTCCTATGTCCTTTCTAAATCTAAACTTATCTAATTTAAATCCATTACTGCGGGTTCTCTCTTGGAGAGACATCCTCAAGACCTTATTAATATCCCCTTTATTAATACCTATCTTCCACTTATACACTTCGATCAGGTCTCCCCTAACAAGTGAATGTAACTTAAGAGTCTTCAATCTTTCTTCATAAGGAAGATTTCTAATGCTATGTATTAATTTAGTCATCCTACGCTGAAAGAGATGACTAAGATGCCAGGAGCAGGGGGCTAGTAACCCATTCTCTATAAATTACTAAATTTAAAGAGAAACTTTCGTTTTTCTTTTTGGGCCACCCTGCCTTGGTGGATTACAGCTGGTTTGTTGAAAGATGATATAGGCCTCGAGTCCAATGCCTGCACTTTAAACGAGGGGTTAGGGATATTAGCTGTTTGGAGTGACATCTAAACTGTCGTACCTGAGTGCTTTTGCAAGGATGGCTTTTATGTATAAATGATGAAAGTGTTGAATGGTGGAAGTTTTTTCTTTCTATTTTGGGTCACCCTGCCTCAGTGGGAAACAGCTGATGTGTTAAAAAAAAAAAATATACATTTTGTCTTTGCAGGTGTGGCAGATGGCAGAAAATATCTACAATGATGAGGAACCAGAGACTCCGGCTTCAGAACTAGAATCTGGGGCATCTTAAATTGTGCATAGCCTTTTGCAGCACCATTTTCATGCATCAAGACCCACTTATCAGATTTGTCAGTATTCATAAAGTGAAGCAAGTATTATATGGTTTGCATTGTAATACATACAGTAAGCAGTGTATTATCCAGAAAAGGAAGTATGCCTTTAATTCCTGTAGATCATTGGCATCTTCTTATGAATTTCTAATATGAAAGTTCAATTAGATGACATTTAAATTGTACATGAATTAGATAATTTTTGTGGATCTTTGGTAATTTTGTTGTAAAAGTATAGTATTTATATTGCTATTCCATATAATGCATAATTCCATTGAAAATGATAATTGTTGCAAGAATTTCATTAGAATTATCATTTTTATAATAAAAGAAACATGTCAAAACTCCTTTCATTGATTGTTACTAAGAAGTGATGATTATACCCTAAAATATAGGTACGTGTGTTTCCTCAAAGGTGATGCCTTGATCCTGGTGAAGGGCTCTTGGTTAATGAAGAGTGGACTTTTTATCCCCTTGGAGTGAACCAGATATCTTCCTATTCTCTAAGTATGAGTTCTTGAAAGTTTAGTGGTTCCCTATAATTGATGGCAATGCATGGCTTAAGTGGTTACAGCATAATTTTAGTCCCAAAGTCCAATGATACCTGAATAAAAGTAACTTCACATTCAATATTGGAATTCTTGATAATTCCTGTATAATCCTCAGTTCTTACAGTATGTTTACACGGTGTAATTTTTTACTGCTTAGTATAACGTTGATACAACTTGTTCAGTCATTAGAGATTTAAAGTGCATTTACACATGCACAATGATGCAGAATGATCAGTCATCGTTCAGGTATAAATTCAGCATTGCAGATGCAATACCCCACATTAATGCTGCATGGTGTAACTTGTCCAAATAGAAAATAAATGCAGGCTTGAAAAATTATGGCCTAGTTTTCTAGTATGTTGAATAATTTTGCAGTTTTTTTCATCAATAGAGAACCATGTCCAGGAAATTGGTGACTTGGCAAGGAAACTGCCAGGTGAAGTTATGGAGCCAGATGCTAATGAAATCTTTAGATGAAATTTTGGAAGTGGTCCTTTCCCAGATAAAGGAAGTGATAAGGAAGAATTGTTAGATGAAACAATAGTAATGTGATAATTTCCATGCTATTACTAAAACTGCAGACTTTTCACTAGCACATCTAGAAGCTCTGATCTTCAGTGTATTATGGACCAAGCAATGATGTCTTGCCATCAACTGTATAAAGCATTGCATGAGACAATCTGAGGGCTTCAGTTAGTAACAACTGCATTGACCTTGGCCCACAAACCCCAGCCAGCCACTTTGCTCAGGAACTCCAGCCAGGTGCCTTATCCTAAGATCCCATCATCTATCTTGCCCCAGTAGGGCTTTAATAACCATCTCCATTGACATCATCCATCTACTACCTACAGCCAAAATATGGCACATTAATTGGTCCTACTTTCATGGGTCAATTCACATGTGATGGATAACTGTTGCTGCTCTGGCCCTAAGAGTTTATTACCCCGTCCCATAATGTAATAATGACAGGTACTTCTTGCTAACCCCTCAAGGTGGTGCCTGGATGATGCTGAGGAGCTCTTAATCTAAGGAATTGAATCTATCCTCTCCTTGAATCAGATCTGTTTCCCATTCCCTCAGGTATTCCCCCAATATTAGTGCCTTTCCCTCCAAGAAATTAATAACCTTTTGCCAAAACCGTTGTGGTTTACTACTATTCTGATTGTAATAATTTGCCAAGCCAATATACACTGCAGTTTGGGCAGAGATTTATGAGAATGAATCGGTAATATATTAGCTGGATTATTGTTCATGTAAAGAGTACCTTAAGATCACTCACTGCTGACATTGGGCAGAAATATGACTAATAGAGCCCCTCAAGGAAGGGACATAATACAGGTGAGGGGGCTCTTGATCTGAGGAAGTAGACCCATCCTGTTACCCAAGTGCTATATGACCCAGGATAAGAAAGAGGTACTGTGTTTTTGCTTAAACTAATATTAACAAACACTAGTCAGTTGAATAAAAAATAAATTACTAAAATTTCCTCAATGGATAAAATTTTTGAAATGCAAATAAGGAATTTACAGTAAAACAATTTTTCTTCCATTTTATTTACCGTGCTGAACATTTGTACATTTTATTTGTAAAGACCCAGTAAGTTTCACTCGGTGAACTACAGGCTATCCAGGAAGTTGATTACCCTCATCCCACTGTTCTACATATACAGGTCTCCCTCAACTGTTGACAGGGTTAGGGGATCAAGAACCTCGTGAATGTTTGGTGTCCCCAATATATTGTAGGGAAATATAATACAATACTGCTTCCTTAACCTATTGAATCATGAACAATCAATGCATGAAAACATCATAAAATATTGTACTATATACATACATGTTATGTAAAGTAAAAGTATACAAGTGCAACTAATGTGACTTCTTTTTTGTGGCAACATTTCGCTTTCAAGCAGCTTTGTCAAGCCGGCTTGACAAAGCTCCTGGAGAGCGAAACGTTGCCACAATAAAAAGTCACATTAGTTGCACTTGTTCTTTTACTTTACATATTGTCGGTAATTATGCACGTTATGGTTTAATAACATTATTAAATACTACTGCCTCAACTGCTACCGTGCACTGTCTTGTATTTTTGTACAATTTCTTTCTTCAATTCTACCATGTTTCTCAATTTCTTTGGGCCCATGGTTAATTATGTAGCAGTCACACTCAATCAGCAAGCACCAAATACAATGAATTATTGTGAAATGTTTGAATGAGCACAGAGGCTAATGCTTACTCCAGCATAAACAAAGCCACACTGACTCATGATGCCTTGACCACTGCTTCAACCCTCATTTTTATACAATTTCCTTCAATTTATCGTATTATTAGCAGTAGCAGAAATGTTAATTCTTCGCCGTGTTGAGTAAACAAATTGTCATCCAATACCTGTCCAAATGGCCATTCCAATATGCAGTCATGAATGGGTTGACATTTATACTGTAGTTTAACAAATGAACAGTTACCCAAATAATGATAGTTAGCCATGCAGTTACTGATGACAGTTGAAGGGACGTGATTATATGGAGTAACTTTTTTGGGTTATCCTAGGTACTTTACACATTTGCTGCTAAGTATGATAATCTGTGTAACTGTATTTGTGTATACCTGAATAAACTTTGTTTACTTTACTGCATGGCATGACGAGTCTAGGCAGGTGGGCGGGCTGGCTGGCTGCCAGTTGCGGGAGTTGGAGGGAGTGTAGTAAGGACGTGCGGGTGGCGGAAAACTTAAATACGATTTGGTGGCTGGGAATTCGCAAATGCGTGAAGCCCGCGAATGTTGAGGGAGACCTGTACAACCTTGGTTGTCGTATCTCTAGTAAACAGACATTTTCTCCTGAGTCCCTGGATGGATAGACGTTTGGAGCAATGAACAGACAAGCTCCAATGTTCTGTCGGCAGTTCATGACCTCATTGTATACAGGAGTCTTCCTCTTTCAGACTATTTTTCCATAATTTCTCGACAAATTTCCTACATAGTTGGGTTAGTAACAATATGTCTGTCAAACTACAGTTGGGTTTCTTGCCATTGCTGTAGTGTTTGGGGAAGACTACACTCAGGCCTGTGCATCCGACACTTCTCACTCACGGGAAAACTTATGGAAAAATGCTCTGTGAGGATTGCCAAATTACATTATTAGTTCAACATCTCTTAATTGATTGTCCTGTGCATCAGTGGGCACACTTGCTATCTAACCTTGCTGAAGGTCCCACCTTTGCTGCAGACTTCCTCTGACTATAAGAAACTAACTTGCTGCATCAACTTTGTGTTACATTTAGCACTACCCCACTACCCTCATTACCTCTTGCATACTCCTACCCCACACTGGTCTCTGACTTTTGCATATTCTTTGTTTAGCACTTTCCACCTGACCCTATTGGGTTTGGCACTATAAAAGCTTGTTCAACAGTTTTTTTACCTTTAACATTAATTATTACCTAATGCACAGTATCTCTTGAGATATTGGCAAACTACTGCCGTACTTAAAAAGTGAACATGAAATATGGTTAAAGTTTCACCAATCTACTGCTGTCTAGCTCCAAACCTTGGAAGCAAGACAGCAGTCCTATTAGCATGCCCCCATCAATGGGGGGGGGGGGGGTCCTTGATGCAAGGAATTAAACCTGCCCTCCCAGTCCTTGGCTTGAACCAAATTCTCCCTTATTCCCCAGGCACTGTATGACCCCTTATGGGTTTAATGCTTTACCCTAAATAAAATTTATTAGTATACCTGTGAATATCGAAATGAAATTTTTGACTAGGAAGAAAGTTTAGCAGGTAAACTGTTGCAACAATTCAATGTCACTTCCATATACATAATGGAAACATTCATTGTGGTTCGAGGAGAATCCAGATGTAGGCTTATAAAGATAATACGTATAATACTAACATCAGAAGTCAGGGTGAACAATGATCCAAGTCAACAGGTATTGAGAAAGACATTTAAAATATTTTGTAAATATTCAATAAATTGATCAGTAAGACACTTGCAACACCTGTGTATTTATGGCCAAAATGTTTTGCCTCCAAAACAGGCTTCTAGCAAATAAAACACTGTAGATGATAGAAGTAAATTTTAGGTGATCAGCACTTGGGCTAAAAGCAGATGTGGCCAGACTACAGGAGCAAAAGTGAGGTGTAGCAGCTGGAGGTGACATCACAGGCAAAACTGACCCACTAGTGATGTAGCCCAGCCTCTAAACCTCTCTTCCTCTCTCGTATAAGGTGGTCTGGCTGTATGCCTCTTGCTTTAGACAGGGACTGATCACCACCAATTAAGGCTGAGACTGAACACCTCAAACTGACTATCTCCAGTGTTTTATTTGCCTGTATTTGAATGAAGAAGCCTGCTACATTGATAACGTTTTGGCAAGAAACACACCAGTGTTGTACATGTCTTAACTTGCATTGATAGCATACAATGACATGATACTTGCCTGATAACAGTAACAACATTGCATTTTGTTAGAGGCACTAACTCCTTTGCTAAACTATTTACAATAATCTACTGCTAGTATCATAGTTTAAAGGGGAAACCTTTATTGTCTTTCACACAGTATGAAAAAAAAAAAATACTTTTCCACTGTGGTCTTAACAGACCTTTGAAGCCTCAATGAAGTTTTGATTTGTAGATTCTATGAAAAGGCACTACGACTTTTCAACACAGTTGTCTTGAGCAATGTCTTAAGTATTCAGTTTTAAAATTTTTCAATATTTTCACTAAAAAAAAATATAGAATGAAAATCGTGTCATAAATCAATTTTTTTTTTCACTATTTTCTACCACTGCACAGAAGCACTATGATCCTTATGGCTTTAGTTCCTGGTTATGATTGTAATAATAATACCACTGCACATGAGGATCAAAGTCAAGGGTTTTGTTTGGAATTTGATATGACAAGTTCAAACTTATCTGTGTGCTTGTGTTTATTAATAAATTCCTGAGGATGTGGCATGACATAACGCAACTTCTCCCAGAACTTTGGGTCACGCCACTGAAGATACGTCCTTGTGGAAAGATACAGTCTGAGCTCTTCATCCAACTCTGAATCTGGTGGCACCTAACAAAATAAAAACTGTTATCTCTACAGTAATACAGGCGAGCCCCGCTTTACGACATTTCACTAATACAGCAGGTATTCAATTATACCCAATCTTCATTTATTGAGACCTACAATAAACATTCACTCACTATAAGCTAGACAAAAATATTTTAAAATAAGTAATGTGTACGCATTTTTTTTGGTCTAGCTCTATTGCTCACTTAATAGTATATGATAGTGTAAATATGTTATCAGGTTTTTATAAGAATTTGTAAGTGCACAAAGGTCTTGTTTTGCTTTACAATGGTGGCCTGAGACTTAACCTGCTGTATGAGCATGGCCCTCCTGTATACCACTTTCTGATGTATTTTTGTATTAGTATCAACACATTTAATAGCTTGATTTAACAAACTTCTGAAATACATAGTGTACGCTAGGTCAACTGATTAGAGAGCAGCAGACAAAGTGCACTGGTCAAGGAATTTACAGCTTTTGTCCGGATTAGGCAAAATACTGTCTTTTTATAGTACCACAATCACCACTACCAGTCACCTGCTACATTCTATTGATCTGTTAAATCAAGGCTTTGCTGTATATTTATGCATACCAAATTTATAATAAAATCATACACAAGAAAATTAATGCACAACCAACTGTAGTTTTTTAATTATACTGGTAATTTTTTTTTTTTTTTTTTTTTTAACCCTTCGAGGGTTTTCGTCGTACTAGTACGTCTTACGCGTAGGGGTTTTTGACGTACTAGTATGCATAAATTCTAGCGGCCTCAAATCTAGTGGGAGAAAGCTGGTAGGCCTTCATATGAAAGAATGGGTCTATGTGGTCAGTGTGCACAGTCTAAAAACAATCCTGCAGCACACAGTGCATGAGAAAAAAAAAACTGACCATTTTTTTGGAATAAATCAGCGACTTTGCAGTGTATTTTCGTATGGTATTTATTGTATTCTAGTTTTCTTGGTCTCATTTTATAGAATGGAAGACATATTACAGAAATTGAGATGATTTTGACTGGTTTTACAATGAAAGGTGCCTTGAAATTGAGCTCAAAGTAGCAGAAATGTTCGATTTTTACCAAACTTCAAAAGTAAACAAATCGTGCCAAGCGTGCAATACACGTCAACTGGCGAGTCTAATATTCTTTCACAAGTGCACCAATAATATTTATACCATTTTTTACACTAATGCAGTAGTCTGCATAACAGTAAATCTTATATTTTTTGTGAGAATAAAAATTCAAAATGGAAAGCAAAAGAATATAAGAGGGGCCTTGAGACGTGACTAATGACTAGAGGAAATGTCATTTTAGTGCCAGGAATGTCTTTCTTGTTTATTCTGGACCCTATTCGGAAATTGGCATCTTTTGAAATTTGTGTGAAATTGGCAAAATTGCTAAATTCTGACCACTGTACTGGATAGTTGAATTTAATAAATGGGTGGTTTCTTGTACCCATTCGATAGAAAAAATGGAGTTCTAGTGAAATATTCATGTTTTTTGTCGACTAGTACAGCGAAATTGGCCGAAAATGGGGCTCAAAGTGGGCAAAATCGCCGATGCGTAAACATCGCCGAGACCGCTAACTTTGCGAGAGCATAATTCCGTAAGTTTTCTATCAAATTTCAAACTTATGGTGTCTTTATGATCGGGAAAAGATTCTCTATCTTTTCATAAGAGAAAAATTTTTTTTTTTTTTTAAATTTGGCCGACCCTGAGAACGAGTTTCGGAGAGGGCCTGTCGACCCTCAAAGGGTTAAACACCGGCTGTTTCCCACCAAGGCAGGGGGACCCAAAAAAGAAACATTTATCATTTACACAATCACTGTCTTTGCAGAGGTACCCAGATATGACAGTTTAGATGTCACTCCACACAGTCAATATCCCAATCCCAGTGCAGGCACTGTACTTTAACTTCCAGGACTCAAGTCTGGCTAACCAGCTATGTAACCCCTTATGTATACAAACACAATCTTTTGTATGCAATACAGAGGGGCATCAGGTTTCAACACTTAATATTTTTAATATCCTCTAAAGAGAGCCAAACTGATAGAGCATAGAGATTTAAGGTCCTACTTTTGATGAAGACTTGTTAAAGAAAACTAACCTACTGCACCAACTCTGAATTAAACTAGACTCGCCTTTGACTCAGACTTCCTCATTGACTTTTTGACAGCAACTCCTCAGTGCTTTCTAACTCCCTCTGTTGTCCACTCCACCCTTGCTACTTTATAATCCTGCACTATCCCGTCCCACTGCGCTGTATGACCTTTACCTCTGAAGAGTTTCGAGAGTTTCACTATCAGAGCACGGCCATGGGCCAGGCTCATCCTTGTAGGTTTACCATTTCTTTTTGATTATAATAATAATTTGAATTAAACTTTATTCTTGCATCCTTCCCTATGTCCACTAACCCCTGTGAAGGGGAAACTTAAGTTTACACATCTCTCCTTGCAACTCTGACCCTTTTGGGTTTAGCTCTTGCCTTAACAGATTTAATATTTGTGATTCCCAGTTTTCAGGAAGAGTTTTGGTGGTGTGATCTCATTTTGATGTATGGTACAGTGGGCAATGCTCTTGCTGCTGAGGCAGTATGAGAAAAATAAAGCTTTACCTGAAGAGGGTTTCGGGGGTCAACACCCCACGCGGCCCGGTCTGTGACCGGGCCTCATGGTGGATCAGGGGCTGATCAAAGATAAGTGAAAAATGCAACAGAACTCAAAGGGTTTCAGATGCTGGCCTTTAATAATTTTTCAAAAGATGGGTATACGTATATCACAAAGGATAAATTTACAAACTATGAAACAAACAGAAGCAGTGTTTTATAACTTACCTCTCCAAAAACAATAACAATAATCTTGTTGGTTTTTTCTTTGAGGGCTTTGGAATGGGCAGTTTTAAACTGCAATTGCCCCCAAACATTTTCAACAGAATTGGACGAGAGTATGACAATTGTTCGACGGCTGGCCTCTATGCTTTGATCAATCTGGTCCTGAATGTACTCTCCTGGGACCCAGTCACGATAGTGGAGACATACTTTGTACTTTGGATCACCAGACTCTAGACCAGGCACTAGTACGGAGTTCACAAATTCTTCGTCCTGGAAAAATGCACCAATTTTTTTTTTTTTTTATTTAGTACATAAAGTCTTACTAATGTTGCCACCCATACTGGGATCGAACCATGGACCTCAGTGTGTGAGCTGAGTGCACTAGCAGTTGTTACAGTGGTAACAATAAGTGCATTGGTATGAATGCCAATTGAGATCTGGACAAGTCAATTGTGCCAAATTCAGGGGTTTCTATTTTAACTCAGTGCTGTATGACCCTTGTGGGTTTAGTGCTTTGTTACAATAATAACAGTAATTAATTTTAACTATTTAAAGCAGTTGCCTGAGAAAAGTTTTTCCAAAAACTGTCAAAATATAACAATGTTTTTAAAATTATGTACAAATGTGTAGAACAAGGTACAACCTCTCCTCACTTAACGATGAAGTTCCGTTCCTAACACCACGTCGGTAAACAAATTCGCCGCTAAGGGAGGAGCACTACTATAATGGTAGTGGGTTTGTCAATCATTGATATTGTTTTAATGTCACCTTTGCACCATTTACAACATTTCTGACATTTTTAAGTGTTTCTACAGTAGTGTACTGTATATTGTAATAAACAGAATAGAGGAAATCAGCTCTAATATACTACATTATTTAGGTATGCATACTGGTCAGAGCCCACTAAGTCTGAGCTGTCAGTAAACGAGTACGTCGCTAAGTGAGGAGAGGCTGTATTAATAGTATACTGTATTATGTGTTGTACTGTAATGGGGTCTCAGCATGTCTAGTAATTCTAATCTATAAGCTTTCATAAACACTTACGTACTTTGTTTGAATAACTGATAAAAGCGTCATATTTCTTATTAGCCTCGTGTTCCTCTTCAACAACAGCCCATAGACAAATGCGATGTGTAAATAACCACACTTTAACATCTTGCTTGTATTTGTAAACACTGACAGTTCCTGCAAATAAAAAAAAAAAATTATTAAATTTGTTTTGAAGAATGTGAAATTATTAACACTAAATTTTAAAAAGCGCAGCTTTCATTTGAACATATTTTGTCTCGGGTTCCATAGCAGTGTTCATGTATTGAGTCAACTTCAATCTGTGTCAGATGTTTTGACAAGAATTAGTCTACAGTTGGAGAATAAAGTTCATACATAATACATTAACCCTTTGGGGGTTTCGGCCGTACTATTACGGCTTACGCCCCAGGGTTTTTGACGTACTAGTACACATAAATTCTAGCGCCCTCAAATCTAGCGAGAGAAAGCTGGTAGGCCTACATATGAAAGAATGGGTCTATGTGGTCAGTGTGCGCAGTATAAAAAAAAATCCTGCAACACAGCGACTTTGCACTGTATTTTCGTATGGTATTTATTGTTGTATTCTAGTTTTCTTGGTCTCATTTTATAGAATGGAAGACATATTACAGAAATTGAGATGATTTTGACTGGTTTTACAATGAAAAGTACCTTGAAATTGAGCTCAAAGTAGCAGAAATGTTCGATTTTTACCAAAGTTCAAAAATAAACAAATCATGCCAAGCGTCCAATACACGTCAACTGGCAAATCTAATATTCTTTCACAAGTGCGCTGATTATTTGTACCATTTCTATACTAATGCAGTAGTCTGCATAACAGTAAATCATCTATTTTTTGTGAGAATAAAAATTCAAAGTGGAAAGCAAAAGAATGTAATAGGGGCCTTGAGACGTGACTAATGAACAGAGGAAATGTTATTTTAGTGCCTGGAATGTCTTTCTGTTTATTCTGAACCCTATTCGGAAATTGGCATCTTTTGAAATTTGTGTGAAATTGGTAAAATTGCTAAATTCTGACCACTTTATTGGATAGTTGAAATCGGTAAATGGGTGGTTTCTTGTACTCATTCGATAGAAAAAACAGAGTTCTAGCGAAATAGTTATGATTTTTGTCGACTAGTACATTGGAATTGGCCGAAAATAGGGCTGAAAGTGGGCAAAATCGTCGATGCGTAAACATCGAGACCGCTAACTTCGCAAGAGCATAATTCCGTAAGTTTTCCATAAAATTTCATACTTTTGGTGTCATTATGATCGGGATTATTATTATAATCAAGGGGGAAGCTGCTAAACCCGGAGGATTATACAGCGCTATCTTTTCATAAGATTTTTTTTTTTTTTTAATTAAATTGGCGACCCTGAGAACAAGTCTCTGAGAGGGCCTGGTGACCCCCAAAGGGTTAATTGCAAATATTTGCAAATACTGTAACCTGCACTTCAGGGGAAAAAAAAAAAAAAAAAAACTTCCATCCTGGATCACCGTCAAATCACAAGTGAGAGAGAAGTAAAATGGACTAGAAGACAGGTTGGGAAGAGGAAACAGTTACCTGGGGTATACCTGGAGAGGGTTTTGGAGTTCAACGCCCCTCGCAGCCCAGTCTGAGACCAGGCCGTGGTAGTGATAGTTGAAGCTACAGTAGTAAGAGCAGCGGCGACACAGAAGTAAGGCAGAGGCAGATAAGAAAAGGCTCAAAAAAAAAAAAAAAAAAAAAATAGTCAGGTGGTCAGATATTAGATTACAATCAAGAAACTGGAAATAAGGAGCATAGGTATGAGAGTCAGAGGGCAAGAAGTGCTTTTCAGAGATAATCCTAGGCATTAAGGAGAACCACTACCCTTGAGGGAGGTTCCTTGATTTAAGGTGCTCGATTCAGGGAAATGAACCTGTCCATCCCTTTCTCGGATCAAACCTGAGTGCCCTCCAGGCACTGTATTATAAATACACAATATTGACAAGATGAGCACAATGCGTGCAGCACTCGTTTATTTCTTTGGTCGAAGGGATTCATTACACAGCAGGCTTCAGTCTAATATAAAAAATTATAACACTGGAGACAGTAGGATTGGAGAGGTAATTTGGAAGTGATCAGTCCCTCAGTCTTAACAGGGTGGTCAGTCCTTTAAAGCAAGGGTATGAACCAGGGATTTACAATATATACTGGAAGTAGAAGCAAGGTGGCTGCATGGCCCCAGTGGGCTTAGGTCTTCATGAATGTAATAATAAACTTCAGACTCACCGAGTACACAGAAGAGAAACAGAAAGATGGTTATGCAGGTAATGGTAACTATGACCATTGCCTGCCGGATAATGGGGCATAGGTCTTCTTTTTGAACATTGATTAAAGGCTCATCCAAGTTGTCACAGATTATGTTGTGGGAGTCAGTCACCTGTGTATATGAGAACCATGTCAATATTACATTTCTATATAAATTTAGTTTTGCTTTGAAGACATTATATGACACAATGTTTTAATATTTAGCATAACTATTCTTGCTTAGAGATTTTGAACTCTCATGAAGATCATGAAGTGTGAATAAGTAGTCATGTGAAAACTCCTAAGAAAGCACCTGTGTACCACTAAAAGGATCAAAAGAAAAACTGGAATGGCTAAATAAATCCTCTAACTTGGTTAGAAAGTGTGAGAAAATGTGATTAAGGAACAATAGTGGACAAGACATGAAATTTCTTTTCTTTTAAGCCCTCATTCTTGCAGGGTTAACATGCTTACAAATGTGCATGCTCACACATCTTATTTATACAATTATCATTTTTCTAAAGTTCAGTTCAGTAATAACACTAGATTAACCTAATTTACACAGATTCATACAAATATCCTACCTTTCTGTTAGGATCCCGAAGAAATGTATGGAGGTCATCCAGATCACAGTTGCAGTGCCAGGGATTCTCTCCCAAGCTGAGCGTGACAGAAGAATTCAAAAATTCTAACAATGACTTTGAGAGAGATGTAAAGTTATTCCCACGGATGTCTAAAACTTTTAAATGGTCCGGTAAGACTGATTCATTAATGAATGACAATTTATTATTTGGTACTGTCAAATTCACAAGAGATGAATATTCAGAATCTTGAAGGCCATTCAAATTTGTAATGGTATTGTTGCTTAAATTCAAAGTTAATGAATAGTTTCCTTTTACCAAGTCATGTGTTAACTTTGGTATGGACTGTAGTCCTTGATAAGCACAGTTAATGATGAGCATCATATCATGAGGACGTGTGAAACATCTGCATCTGTTGGGACATTCTTGAACCTGGCATGTTAGGACGTCTGTGTTGACTTTCATGACAGGGATCTGTAAATTCTGGTTCTCTGGATAAGAACAAGTGATTTTTTCCCGATTCTCGACTTGATATTGAAATGTGTTTTCGCCCTTTTGAAAAGACTTTCCCTGCAACAGTCTAGCAAACTTATATATATTACAATCACAACTTAATTGGTTGCCCTCTAGCTGCACATTGACAATTTTTGGGGGCTGAGTGTGTGCTGCATCCTGTAAAGATATGCTTTTGATTTTGTTATTGTTAAGTTTAATGACTACATTATCTGATTTGAATGAAAGATAATTAAAGTCCAAGTACTCTATTATATTTCCATCAAGATCTAGTTCTTCTAGCTCTGGGAAATTGGTAGTGAAAGCTTGTGATACTACAGGAATTCTGTTATTACTTAGGCACAATAATGTTAGATTTGTTTGTTCAGAAAGAGGAAAATGTTCTTCAAGTGTAATAAGTTGTGAGGCTGAATCCATATTACTTTGTACTGAAAATGATATATTGTTGTTGGCAAGATCTAGAAGTTCAAGAGATGTTCTTGGATGTGGAAATGAAGAGCTCTGGAGGACACTTAAGTTGTTGTAACTCACGTAAAGCTTTTTCAAGCTTTCACAGTTTTTAAAAATGTCATCAGGTAGTTCACTAATGCTATTGTTTTTCAGAACCAATACATTCATTTGCCTTAGGTTATCAAAACAGCGAGATGGGAGAGCCACCAAGAGGTTTGACTGAAGATCCAAGGCTTCAAGATTCGTCAAATCTGTGAATATATCCACAGGTAAACTTGTCAAGCCATTTCTCTTTAATAAAAGCTTAGCTAAGTCATTCAAGCCCTAAATATGTTCTGTGGGAGACTGCGAATTTGGTTATTGCTAAAATCCAACCGTTTTAATTTTGTGGATTTCTTGAAGAGCTCTGAAGACAGGGAAGTAATTTTATTGAAATTACTTTCCAAAATTTCTAAATTGGGACAGTTATGAAATATATTCTCAGGAAGAAATTCAAGTGAGTTAGAATTAGTAAAACACTTCTAAGGTTCGTAAGGTTAGAAAATACACCTGAATCAAACTGTGATATTTTGTTATGAGTCAGTTCGAGTGACAACAGTTGTGGAACTGTTGATAACAACTCGGGATGTAATTCAGTCAATTTGTTCTCCCAAAGGCTCAAATTTGTCAATTTAGAAAGATTTGCAAACAAACCAACTGGTAAACTAGTAAAAGCATTATTATACAGATATATTTCTGTCAAGTTTGGTGTACTTTTAAATAAAGATTCTGGGAGACTTTCCATTTTATTTGAGGTAAAACTAAAATGACGCAGTTTTGGAGTGGCTTCCAATAGATTTGGTGGTATGGCAGTAAAACTGTTAGCTTCAAACACCAAATTCTTCAGGTTTTTTAAACCTCTGAGATGCCATTCTTCTAATTCTAATCCACTTCGCTGGCCGACATTACTAAATAATAATGAGGTTACATTTTCCGGACGTATACCAATCTGTTCAAAGATTTCACTGAACGATGTGTTAAATAAGGGGCACCTCTGAAATTCTACATACTTGACTGAAGAAAACTCACAATCTTCAATCAGCGAAATATTAATGGCTGGTGCATCATATCGACATGTAAGGTGTAGCACACTCTGTGGGTAATCCTTATGGTCAGTTACTGACACCTTAAACCTCTGAAGATCAATGGACCTAGGGCACTCCAGCTCAGCGTTAGTGTTTCTCTCGCACTGTCCACATGATATAATACTGGCATAGGTTGAAGCCGCCCAGAAGTGTAGCAGGTGGAGAACCAGTATCATCCGTGAGGCCATGATGGTGCACCATCTGAACAATCTCTGTCGGATGATGCTCAAAACTTGTAGTACTCGCTGCTAGCAGCAATCACCTGCAAAAAAAAAAAAATGTACATATGTAAGTAGTATGTATATTATATATTCTTTCAACAAACCGGCCGTATCCCACCAAGGCAGGGTGGCCCGTAAAGAAAAAAAAGTTTCTTTTTAAATTTAGTAATGTATACAGGAGGTGTTACTAGCCCCTTGCTCCCGGCATTTTAGTCGCCTCTTACAACACGCATGGCTTACGGAGGAAGAATTCTGTTCCACTTCCCCATGGAGATAAGAGGAAATAAACAAGAACAAGAACTAGAAAGAAATAGAAAACCCAGAGGGGTGTGTGTGTGTATATATATATGCTTGTACGTGTATGTGTAGTGCGACGTAAGTGTAAGTAGAAGTAGTAAGACGTACCTGAAATCTTGCATGTTTACGAGACAGAAAAAAAGGACACCAGCAATCCTACCATCATGTAAAACAATTAGACTTTTGTTTTACACTCACTTGGCAGGACGGTAGTACCTCCCTGGGTGGTTGCTGTCTACCAACCTACTACTAGTATATGTCTAGGTAGTAGGTTGGTAGACAGCAACCACCCAGGGAGCTAAAATATACATATACAATACACACTACCTTAAAATATTTTCGTCCTTAGCTTATAGTGAGTGGTGAACATATTTATTGTAGGTCTCAATAAATAAATAGGTATAATTGAAAACTGCTGCATTAGTAAAATGCCATAAAGTGAAGGACTGTAAGGGCCCCTCCTGTACACGTGTATGTATGTATGTGTATGTATGTAGTGTGTGTGTGCATGCATGCACACACACACCCACACACACCAAGCCATGGGGGATGGAAATCTTCAGCTCAAGATCTTTCATACGTCTCTGTGCATTATCAGGAGCTATGCAAGATTAGCAACAGGTAGAATAAGAGGAAGTTTTCTCAGAGTAAGGTAACATGGTGATGCCAGTCAGGACTGCCTTTCTGCAATTTGTATTGCACACACATAATATAATATATATATATATATATATATATATATATATATATATATATATATATATATATATATATATATATATATATATATATATATATATAATATATATATATATATATATACTTATATTATATTGTGTGTGTGTGTTGTGTGTGTGTGTGTGTGTGTGTGTGTGTGTGTGTGTGTGTGTGTGTGTGTGTGTGTGTGTGTGTGTGAGTGAGATAAAAGATACAGAATAACAACAGGGGGACTTGAATGATAGCTCTAGGCATCTTCCAACATTACAGAAATAGACTAAGATATCCAGCAGATTCGTTCAGGAAATGGCTCTCTCCAGGATCATTCTTTTCTTCAGCTATACTTAGTGACTATGAAAAGGGGGGAAGAGTTGTCTTGATGCCAATGAAAGGCTATTGATCCAGGAAACCAGAACTACCCCCTCACCTTGGATCCAACCTGATTAGTATTAATTTCCCAGGTGCTGTCAGAGAACCACAGGAATTAATGGTTTTCATCCGTAGGGATGTACCCAAGTATCAGTATCGGCCATTTTATGGTATATGTTGAAAATCAGCTGATACTTTCTAACCTATTGTTACTACACGTGTGTTTAAAAATAACATTAACACTGCCTCACAATTGTGAGAGTTACTCATGCACACACACGCGCGCGCGCCACACACACACACACACACACACACACACACACACACACACACACACACACACACACACACACACACACACACACACACACACACACACACACACGTGCGCGCACACAAAATACTGCGTGGAATAGATAAGAGACAGGATGTTCCACAGAGGGGACACAGAAACAAGGGGCCACAATTGGGAGTTGAAGACTCGGACGAGTCAATGGGATGTTAGGAAGTATTTCTTCAGTCATAGAGTTGTCAGGAAGTGGAATAGCCTAGCAAGTGACGTAGTGGAGGCGGGAACCATACATAGTTTTATGACGAGGTATGATGAAGCTCATGGAGTAGGGAGAGAGGACCTAGTGACCAGTGAATTATTATAATCAAGGGGGAAGCGCTAAACCCGGAGGATTAGAGGCGGGGCCAGGAGCTGAGTCTCGACCCCTGCAACCACAATTAGGCGAGTACGTACGTACGTACACACACACACACACACACACACACACACACACACACACACGAGAGTACACAGACAGGGCTACGTTTCAGAGATGGGACACAGGAATAAGGAGACACCTGAAAGTTGAAATTCAGATAAGCCACAGGGATGTTAGGTAGTATTTCTTCAGCTTTAGATTTGTCAGGAAGTGGAACAATTCGGAAAGTTTAGTAGTGGAGGCAGGATCCATACATAGCTTTAAGAAGAGGTACGATAAGGTTCTTGGAGCAAGGAGAGAATGGACCTTAAAGCACGCAGCGAAAAGGCAGGGCCAGGAGTTGTGAATCGACCCCAGCAACCACAAATAGGAAAGTACGAACACATTGAGAAGTGCCTTAACAACCAGCAGTTAACAACAGCCAAGTAATGACTAACAACATTATCATCTCAAAGAAATTATTTAATAATCTTCCTGTGGAAAATTTTGATAATCTTCCTGTAATTTGTGTGTAAGAATTAATGGAGATAATGTTTATCTGAAAACTGTATAGGTATATAACTTCAGTCACTTTTAAAAGATGTTCTGCGACATGATAACTTATATTCTCTAATATTTCCCTATATTCTGTAAGGAGTTGAATAAAGTGAAAATGTTGTCATTTAAAGGAAATTAGTATTTCAATAATGAAAATGTAGTGCACATCTAGAAGTGTTATTAAATTAATTGAAAAGATGTATTGGTAGAAAAAAAAACGGGAGAACAATGAAAATGGCGGAACGTATATATTAACTGGGGGAGTGTTGCAGAATTTGATCCTGGGTAATCGAAGCCGACGAAAAGTGTCGGCAATTATTGGGGACCATGAAATGAGTGAATATAATAGTTATCCGGAAGGATTCAGATACATAGTAATCGGGTCATAATAAGACTGATAATGAAGATAATTCTGGACGCGGTCATTCAACATGATCATCGTGTGTACCAACAATTATTTAATTTCGCTTCATATAGGGTATCAACCCACCAAATAGGGAAGGTATCTAGTACTGACCAACATTTAACCTACCTGCCTGCTCAGGAGGAGTTAGGATGCATCACCAAAATACTAACTTGGTAAATAACTTATGTTCTGCATTTACGTACACTCGCCCAGTTTTATATAATATAAAAGTGATGTATATAATGAATTTAAACCGTGGATAAACAAATTACTTGAGGGTGTCCAGTCCAAAGTAATTTTTCGGTAATATAAACAGTCCACAACTAAATTTAATACATCCAGTGTTACTGGCTGGAAATCCCCTCAAGGGAGGTTCCTTGATGCTGGTGAGGGGCTCTTGATCTAGGGAACTGGATTTGTGCTCCGGTTCCCCGAATTAAGCCTGAATACCTTCCACCTCCCCCCCCCCACCCACAAGCGCTGTATAATCCTACGGGTTTATATAATTATACCTGGAGAGAGTTCCGGGGGTCAACGCCCCCGTCGTCCGGCCTCATGGTGGATCAGGGTCTGATCAACCAGGCAGTTACTGTTGACCGCACGCAACCCGGCGTACGAACCACAGCCCGGCTGGTCAGGTACTGACTTTAGGTGCTTGTCCAGTGCCGGCTTGAAGACAGCAAGGGGTCTATTGGTAATCCACCTTATGTATGCTCGGAGGCAGTTGAACAGTCTTGGGCCTCTAACACGGGAAAAGTATCGATATTATGTATATCGGCCAAAATTTTGGTATCGTCCCATCCCCATTTACAGGGATGTTACTCACACTTAACAGAGCAGAAACCAATAGACCGATGTTCATGAAACACACATTCGCCTCACAGTGTCCGTGGTTCATTCCCCGGCACGGGTGGAAACATTGGGTGTTTCCTTACACCTGTTGTCCCTGTTCACCTAGCAAGCACATAAGTACCTGGTGTTAGTCGACTGGTGTGGGTCGCATCCTGGGGGACAAGATTAAGGACCCCAATAGAAATAAGACAAGACGGTCCTCGATGACGCACTGACTTTCTTAGGTTATTCTGGATGGCTAACCCTCAGGGGTTAAAAACCCGAACAAAAGTCTTGTCCACAGAGATTCCTTTAAATCTTACGAAAACCTTGTGTGTAATAAAGATTACATATTCCCAAGACAGATAGATCAGGCGCAGAATTAAGTAAAAAAAATTATTGAAATACAGGCTCTTCTGAGTAACTCTGAATAACTTATAGATGAAAGAGTAGATACATAGAGGCAAAAAGGGATGGAGGAGGAGCCAGGGGGGGCAGAGATGACGGCTATGAAATGGTTATAACTATAGCCATAAATTTTTAAGGGGTGGAGGAGTAAGCCTGTGGAAGGCCTGGGCCAGATGACCAAAAGCTCAATCTGCGGGTCATATGACAGACCCGCGTCAGGCAACGCTTATCCTTTTTCCTGTCAAATTTTACCTAACCTAATGACGGCTAACAACATCGATAATTTATAGGAATTTTAGGAAACACGTTGTCTGCCCCAGTGACAAGTGTTATAATAATAATCTATTTCTACATATACAAGGTATACAAACCATAACAGACATCAGTGACATATAGAAAGCCCCTTGTTTCGCAGAGCATTTCGGGCAAATTAGGTCAGTTTTGACCAGGATACGACCCACACCAGTCGACTAACACTCAGGTACCTATTTTACTGCTAGGTGAACAGGGGCAGCAGGTATCTTAAGGAAACACGTCCTAATGTTTCCAGCCGTGCCGGGAACCGAACCACGAAATCGAGCTACGGGACAACTAGAAACTATATGAAGAGGCGGTGGAGGCACACACAATAATACATTTTCCAGAGCAGTTATGATGTAGACCCGGACTTCAGAAATCGATAATGACGCTAACAAGAGACGGGGCCAGGAGCTATGAATCGACCCCTGTAAAGTAAAGACACACATGCAACCCTTAGGATATTTAA